TCAATTGTGGCTTTAGTTTCAGTTGCAGCATTGCTGGGTGAGATAGAGTAAAGTCCATTATCTCATTTGTTTCGAGACTACAAAAAAATGTCAAATACAAAAGTTATAGGGAATATTAAGATACACATTTTAAAATTATTATAGAGTATACAGGGTCTTTCAAAATGTGGATATATGTTTTTAATGTAACACCCTATTTTATTTATTTTAAGATTCTGCGTAAAAATTCTATAACTTTTTATATATAATGTTATATACCCACAAATTAATGGTTTTTGTAATATTTAAATTTGTTTTATGCAAATGTTAAATTGCAATGTGTAAAAAAATTAATTTTTTTTTTTTTTTTTTTTTTTTTTTAATTTAAAATTTATGAAAGTTCTAGAGATTAAGAAGATATATGTTAAGATATTTTAATAAAAAAAAAAAAAAAAAAATGTTTAAATATTTATAATTTCAACTACTTAAAATTAAAAAATCTCAAATTTTTTGATAATTTTCTATATATTTTTCATTTTTTCTGATAGATTTTGCAAAGCTCTTCAGCTTTTATTAAGTATGTCATATACCTATTTTTTAATAGTTTTGACTTATTTCAACGTTTTTCTATTTTTACCCTAATTTTAATGGTAAACACAAAATAAAAACACTAAATCTTCTAATACACCAAAACACTTTTGCTTTTTACATGGTACGCGCGTTTCTTTAACCATATTAGCATCATGGCAGATGATTATAAATTTACCATCCACAAGTTGAGCGTTTATATACTCACTCAGTAGACTTTCGAGTGGGCGTGCTTCAAATCAGCCAACCGGTCAAGAGCTAAGCTGGGCGTAACAGTTCAGATACCGCCACTAAGTAGTAGGAACAAAGAACTTGAAGGAATTGGACCATTGACTCTGTTCTATCATTTGATAATTCTGATGCTTTTGCATATGTAATTGCTATGAGACATTTAATTAATTTTTTTTTTTTTTTTTTTTTTAAAATGTTTAATTTATCCAACAAGCCATGTTCTAACTGTGCATAAGATTTATCCGGTCTACCATATCTTATATGAGCTAAATGTTCCTTAATCTAGTTAATATTGATCTCTAGTTTGCCCAACATATTTATGATTACGATACTTTACTAGAAAATTTCACTTAAATACAAACTTTTTGAGGTGGAGGTGTTTTATCTTTGGATTACCTAACTTGGTGTTGTAATTGTTATGTTTATAAAGTTTATAATTTATGACATTCTTAAAAAGGACTTCCTTTTAGATACAGATAACTCTATCGACGGTGTATCGAAAAAATATTGGATGTGTATCCGTACATTTCAGCTGTTCTAATGGCAAATCTCTCTCTACAACACCTTATCTTTCTAGTTTGAAGGTGGGAAACTAGTAAACTCTACTAAAATTTAATGACATTTTTATGATGTGATTCATTAGGAATATATCTGCGTGTAGTGGTATCTTTTCTATAGATATCAAATTGACTAATACATCATGGCAAATGGTAATCTGTCGTTCTCAATTTCATGCGTAAATTTATTGGAAGGAAAACGATTATTTAACTTAGAAATAAAATTATCTAAGGTGTCTGAATGTGTGTCCAAAACAGCAGAAATATCATCCACATACCTAAACCATACTCTTGGAAAATACTCAAACTGATTCTTGGCCTCCACTTCAAACCTGCTCATGAATAAATTCGCCAAATGGAAGGAATAATGGATTACCCATTTGCTGTGCAGCTAAGCTGTTCAAAGTTATTAAATTCTGAAACAATTTTGTTTCATACATATGAAAACTCAATATATTCTCACACGGTTTGTTGTCGAGACCATTGCGTTCAGTAATTCCTTTAAGTAGCCTAAGGTATGTGGAATTGGAACATTTCGGAACAACGAATTGATGTATATTCCAAAATTTCAGAAGGAGACAAGGCTGCCTTCATGCAATTATATGCTAATTTTGTTAAATGAATTCAATATTATTTTTAACTTTGAAAGAAGGTTCTGATCAGGTAAATTTTAGAACTCCCTTG